GTCAACATTGAGAACAAAAGAAATTGAAACTGACAGAAAAGAATGAAAATTTTCTAAGCTTCTTTCTTCTCCAGCTTTTCTTTTTTCACCCATCGACTCTTTTGTGTTTACAAAATGGATTACGGAAATAATTATGACCTTAAGATTGGGTCAAAATATTTTTCATCATTATTCACTTCAATTTGTTCTTGCATCTTTACGCTCAGGCAACTTGTAAAACTGTTAAGACTAAACTTTGAAGTCTTTTGCTCTTTAATGTTGCCAAATGTTGAACAGGAAATGAAACAAGAATGAAACTCGGATTCATTTCAAAAGTAAATCAATTTTCTATTAAAACGAATACAAAGTATAAAATGAAACTTAAATGAGCTTAAATTGCAATCAGATAAGTCTGCAGATGAAAAGTTCTCATGAGCTTACCATTGATTCTCGAATAATTTGCAATCTTTTTTCTCTTTCGAGAATTCTCACAAATCGAAAAGGTGAGTGGGAGAAGTTTTGGAAAAGAAAAAATTGGAATCTTTTTTGAATGAGAATTGGAAATTTGCTGGAAATCAATTTACTGCTCACAGTTTGATTAATGCCAACAATGAGGAAGAATCTGAGGAAAAAGGAAAATTTCGTTCAATCTCTTCAATTATCTGTCCAACTTATTGAAGGTTAACAGAATTTTGACAAATATTTTTCTACTTGAAAACACTTGAAACTCTTGAAGCGATTCAATCCTTCTGTTATCATGCAAATTCGTATTCCTTCGTATTACTTACTCGTGAAGCTTAAGCTCTTAAAGAGTAAACGTTTTGCATCAAAGTTTCTCATTTCCTTTTGTATTCAATTAAAGTGCAAATCTGGATCATCTTTTATTATCCCGACGAGACAATTAAAAGGTGTTGAGTTATTCATTAAGTAACAGATTGATGAGTTGATTAACTTGACACAGTTTATCAACTCTATTCGAGCTCCTCGTGACATGTTAACAAGGAATCTTTCAATCAACTTATCAACTTCTCCATGAATAAGCTTCTCACAGGTTCGATCAAAATTGCGATTAAACACGCAATGAGTTAGGCAAGTTTCCAGTTCGAATTATAATTAGATTCTTTGCATCGTTTACCTATTCATTTACCTTGACTCAATGAGCTTGGAATTTCTTTTCGAGAATAAAAAAGATTGACTAAAGGAACATTTCTTTTAGTCATTTATTCGAACATTGAATTTCGAATTTTGAAGTATCACAAAATTTAAATATAGAGTTTGCCTCAATGAAATGGATTCTGCAAGAGTTTCAAATTGAATTAAAAGAAATTATTCCTTTCTCTATTCCTAACCTTGTCACATTCAATCTGATTTACTTATCAATGCAAATATTTCATGATATATTTTACTTGAGGGACAAATTGAGTGGAAACTTGATTTGCGATAAATGCAAATTAAATGATCAACTTGGTAATGAAGTAAAGATTGAAGGGAAAAAAAGTAAATTTTCCATCAAAACTTTATTCTCTTTCAATTGAAATTTCTGAAATTTGAACCATTTTCTCTTCATTCAATGTGAATAAATTTGGGTGAAATTTGGCGATATCAGTTTATTGCTAATATTTACAGTTGTTAACTCTTTTCGCTTTAAATTGAGTTGAACATTTTCGTTGAACCTTTGAACACACTTTGAGCTTTAGTTATGGTTAATCTAAGATTACAAATGAGCTAATTTGAATCATTAAATGTTGATTAATTTACATAAACTGAAAGTGAATAAGTGAGAAAAGCGTAATTGTTCAACATTACCAAGTGGTTAAGTTTAATCATTAGCGTGAAATTTAATCACCTCAGTTCATTGTTGTGCGATGTATGGAGAAAAAAAGAGGAAAAAGTAGGAAAAATGGTGAAAAGAGTTTTGCTTTACTTTTACGGTTTACTGCGATTCTTTACAAATTATTGTTTGGCATTTACAACTTTTTACCGTTTTGTTGCAAGTTGATGAAATGATGAATAAGAAGACAGAGAATGATGATTGAGAGGAAGAAAGGTTTACTCTTTGTTGCTGTTCCTTCCCTTTACTCCATTCTTTACCTTTTTACTCACTGCCAATGAACCAGAAAAATGGTTGGAAAGAATTTTGTTGAGTGAAGAGAAAAAGTTGATACAACATTATTTACCCAATTTTGGTTCCTTTTATATTCAACATTGATACAGATTGATCAACAAATCAACGAGTTGATATTATTTTTTATCATCAGTTGAAACAAAAAGGATCAACACTTTTACCTTCGGAAAGGAAGAAGGGAAAGTTAAAAGAAGAGTTTCGATGAAAATAAACAGAACAAGTTTACAGTTTGAAGTTAGTCAAATGAATAAATTGGTTAACTACGATTATCTCACCATTCCATGAGAGACTCATTTTGATTTTACCAGGTTTGACTTGGTAAGATAGTTGAAGGGAAAAGGGTTAACTTAACTCATTAGCAATCCAAATGAGTTTGCAAACTAATTGACAAAGAATGTGCAAACAATGCTCGATTTAAATGCTCAAATCTTGTCATTCTCGATCTGTGAAAATGAACTAAAAATCAAGTTTAACTTTTCGATTCAATTTCACTGGAATTTGAGATACTTGACGAACGAATTTGATGAATCTTTTTTTTCAATTTTGCTTACACTCGATATCGAGTTGAAATTAGAAGTAAATAAAGTCAAAGAGCTGATGAAAATTGTAGGTTATTAACTTGGAGAAGAGATTGATTTGGAAGAAACTTAATCCACTGAAATCAATCCATTTCTGTTGTTCAACTTCCCATGAGAATGAAATTCAACTGACAAGGTAAAAGTCTGTAAATGGCAAGTTTCATGGAAAAATAATATTGCAAAGTATCTGGTCAGAATTTTCATGGAACATGCAATATTTAGAAAGAACAACTTGTACGTGCTTCAAGAGAAATGGACAAAAATATTCTACAAGAAAAGAAAACTTTTTTCTCGAAAAAATTTATCATTCAATTTGTCTTGTTTATTAGTTTGTTGAAAATAAGAAGGTAAATGAAAAAGAGAATCTGGAATGAAACTTTTCTACCTAAACTTTGCATTCTAAACCTACAAGTTTGACCTCAAATCGAGTCAAACTTTGAAAGGTAAACCACTAAAAGCTGCTCAAATTTGCAGTCAAATAATATATTCCTTCTTCACTATCCATCTTCATCATCGTCTTTACCATCTTCAGGTAATATCACTGGGATTTGTTCCATTAATAGTTGAACAAGAATCTCTTTGGAAGCAAGCCAAGAAGTAAAGTTATCTTATTCATTCAAAAATTGGAATGCAAATGGATTCCCTTGAAATGCCCAAGAAAGATGTTGAGACAAGAAGTGCAAAAAATGTGAATATCCATACAAATATAAACTTTTTTTTCTCTCAACAAAATTCTACTCTTTTCACGTATAACAGTTACCTTGACTCTAACATTTAGCCCAACATGAGTAACCAAAGCATCAGATGCATCATGAATGACCCTCTTCTTGAAATGCTTTACCTTTTCTCCAAATGAAGAAAAAACTCTTTCAATCTTTTACCAACCAAAACCTCTCAAATGCAACACTATTCTTTGACGACTCTTGAAGAGAAATCTTTCAATTCCATTTTCATACTCGTAGCTCTTACATTATCATCAACATTATTATTTACAGGAAGAAAAAAAGAATCCAAGTTTACTAACTTTATTTTCTTTACCATTTTCATTTCCGTGAGTAAATTCATCCTATCAAATGAATTTAGAAGCATAAAAGTTGAAATCAAATTATGATCATTTGGCCAATTTGCATCGTTAAGTTTGCTCAATAATCGTCACTACAATCATTACAGATTCAATTTGTCACTTATTTCCATGAAAACTCAAAAGTAAATCTTAATTTCGAAAATTGATTCAAATCGAAAGTTTAACAAATTCAAGTTATTGATTCGATGAAATTGTTCAACATTGACTTTAATCTTTTGATTTCTTGATTTGCTTATAACATCAATACTACAGTAACGATCAAATTGGCTTTTCGTTTGTTCATCAATAACTTTTGGTGAAATTCGTTGCTCTTTGATTTGCTCATGAGGTTATAAATAGTGAGTTGATTAGAACTTAACTTTTTTATTGGAAAAACTTTTATTTTTTGTTTCATCTTACACTCATTTTTCACTTCATCATTTGTTTGTGCAAGAATGAACTTTGCAAATGGAAAGAGAGTGTAACTGACCGAAGAAAAGAAAATGAATTTTGAACGGAAAAAAGGGAAAAAGAAAAAAATGTAAAATTCAAAGTTGTTATCGTAAACATGATGAAACTGGCCATTTGCACATAGATAATGAAGTATTAATGAGTGGTGACCAGTGGAGCGTCCAGCTGGGAAAAGAGAAGAAACGAGAAAAAATTGTAATCTATTTTTACAGGCGAAAAAGATGAAAGTGAGAAAAGGTGAAAAGAAGAAGTAAAGAGAAAAATCTTTTTACCTCATTTGGTGTCACAAAATTGTAATTAACTGAGAGTCTCTCTAGATGAAAATAATGGGTACAACATTATTTTATCGTTAATATTATGGATGACAAGTGAGAAGATAAAGTTTACTCAACTAGTGAACTGAAGCTGTTGTTGAACCTTTTCAAGTGAATATTATATTAGAAGTAATGGGACCAGTAAATAGAAGTGTAATAATCTGAAACTATTAATAATAATGTTGTTGTTGGTGAAGATGCTGATGATGGTGATGATGATGCTTAACAAGAGGCGAAACAAAAGATTGAAGGGTGAGATGGAAAAGTGAACAAGTGAACAAGGTAAATGAGCAAGAGATTGAGATGATGAATGTGCATCAAGTAGACATCATCTTTTCGGTTGTGTTGCGAAAAAAAAGATTTTCTTCTTTACTCGATTCTGATTCAATCTCTTTACTAATTTTATCTTTTCTTTCCTCTCTCCATACTCGTTCCATCGATGGACTCGCTGGTTTTTTTTCTGGCAACAGCAGCTACTCAAGACAGACCCAAGCCAGAGATTAAAGTTGACGATGAAAAGGTTTACATTGGATCAGATGTGACTTTACATTGCAAAATCGATTCTTCCTTTTCCAATCAGTTTAAAGTTTCTGCTTGGTTTACCGATGATGGTTTGATATTTCTTGCTCCAACCTTGTCATCAATTTCAACTGCATCAACTATATCAAGCGACTCTGCAGGTAAGGTTCAATGTTGACTGGCTTGATGCATCTTTAGTGTTCAATTATGAAATGAAATGACAAATGATTCGACTAAAGATAATCTTTTATTCATTTTAAAATTTACTTTTAATGATGCTGACAACAAGGTTAATCCAAGTGCAATTTACATTTTCATTAAACTCCAAGTCTCTCACTTGGCCAATTGTAAAATGAATCTCATCTTTTATAGTTGACAATGTTATTCTTTTTTTGCCTCTTCTTCATTATATTCACTCTCATCATCATTAAAAGCATGGTAAAAGATAAGAATTGTAACCTCAAAAATGTCTCGGTGGAAAGAGAAACAAGGAGTGGGAAGGTGAATTAAGGAGGAGTTGGATGAGAAGCAACAAAAGTTACAATTACTTTGCTCTGCAACTTGGACAAACATTGGAACATAATTAGCTTTTTTCTTCCTTTTCTTCTGGATAAGTTGTTCATACAATTTGATTTTCTGATATTCAAAAGGTTTCTCCCAGTAAGGAAAGCAATTCAGTTTAGGTACAAGATGCAACAACAGTTGATAAAAATCCTTAAACTGCAAGCATTCAGGGAGTGAAAAGCTTTTTACATTAATCGAGTTGATTGTGTTGTTCGTTGACAAACGTTTTCAACATTAAGCAAGTTATCCTTTCATCTTGCATCATGCAGGGATGGATTGTTCACTAATCTAGTCTATTAGTGGCAACAGGGAGTGAATAATGGAAAAACGAGTTTTATTGGAATATGAAATTCTGCTTTCTTAACATCAATTAAGAAATCATTTTTTGAATCAAAAACTTAATTGATGTTTGGTTCATACTGAATAGAGATTTTCATTTGGCAACTTGTTGTTGATTGACTGGAATTGACTGGGAGTGAGTTTGAAAGTGTGTAATTAGATTAGTATTTAAAAATGAATGGAATGATAAAAAAGAGAAATAAAGTTTCAAAGCTGAACCTTTCAAAACAGAGTTTATCATCATCAACCTCGAGGCAAGACTTGGTTCGCTTTTCTTTAAATTTTGACTTTTTCCTGTTTTTGTTCGTTGCTTGATATCATTTTGAAACTGATGATGATAGTGTTGAATAAGTGGAGTCACATGAAGGATGGAGAATGAGAAAAGAGAAAATTTGAAGGAAAAAAATTGCATTACAGGATTGGCAGGGTAAAGACTGGATATATGTGTGCATGTGATCGTTTGAACAACTTTTTTGTATTGTCAAAATGGTCTGACAAATTGTTTTCCGGTTAACTAGGAACAGAGGATTTTGTCTGAAAACAAGAAGTAAGCAAGAATAGAATGAGCAAAAAAATATATCGAAATGTGATGGAAAGGCAAAACGCCGAGGGAGGTTCATTTTGCTTCTTTCATTTTCACTTTCATCCAACAGCAGCAGCAAAAAAAGACTGGCAAATGTTAGCTGAAAGGAAAAGTATTTTATCACTCAATCCAACATTGGCAGATAGAAATCACTCCCAGTCAGTCCCAGCATTTTCGACATTTTTTTGCCTTCCAAGCTGGGAGTGAAAATGTACCTTTTCTTTGACCTTGAAACTGATTACATCAATTGATATCAAATCATTATAATGAGTAATGGCGTCATCACTTAGTGGATTGAAATTGAATCCAGTTTGTTGTTGCAAGTGCATCAACTTCTTTATTCATCGTAATTGCTATTCTTATTTCTGTTGGATTGCCATCGATTGATATTCTTGTTAGCATTTGAAAACATCAATAAATATTATTAATTGACGTTATTATCAATACCATCAATTTGTTGCAATAAATTTCCATGATAAATGTAACATAAGAATGAGATAAACGAGAGAAGGAGAAAAAAGTTCTGATTAAGTAAATAGAGCAAAATTGTTATCATTATTTGACTATTTTTCTTGCATTTGGTTCATTGCTTGGACTTGCTCATTGTCAGAGACGATAAAGCAAAACGGAAAACAAAATGATTCTTGAGCTGAAAAGGCAAACAATCAATAATCCATCAAATCTGAATCCTTGTTTCTGTTTCCAGTTCTCCATGTGCATGAATATATGTAAAGTGCTCCATGTTTTACTGATGATAACCACAGTTCTGCATTCCTTTCAGCATATAATATTCGCAAGCACAGAATATACATAAAACCATTATTCTTGTGTTTTTCTTCTTTTCAATTCTTGTTTTTTTTCTTTTCTCTTTTCCTTGCATTCTGGCTTTTCTGTTTCATCCAATAATACATTTCAATTGTATCACCATTCCAAGTTTTTTTTCCATTCATTTGGTAATAAAATATAAAAGTTCATCGGGTTGATGATATTACACTTTTAGCCTTTTTTTCTTATCAGTTTGTACAGAACTTTTTTTTATTACTCTGATGGCTGAGGATGAATTTGATGAAAGATTTGCGATACAAAAAAATGCGAATAAGTTGAACCAACAGTAAATGCTGGAAAGAAAAATGTACACCGAAACATTATCATTTGATTCGTTTTGAATGAGACCAAATAATTTGTCAGCGTCATGTTCACTATGAATGGAAATGCCCATTTGCATGCTCATGAATCATGCAAACTCTTTGTCAAAATAAACTAAGAAACTATTAATGCTATTAGCATTGCTTATATCATTCAACTTGAAAATCCAAGCAGATAATGATGATAATGTGGAAATAGTTGAAACTATTAGGAACAAAGGAAATTGATAAATAAACTGAAAGATATAAATGGAAACAAAACTAGTTTTTGCAGTAGTCTTAGACCGAGCGAAAGAAATTTCATTTTTACCAAGTTCTAAGCTAAATGTGTTCCTAGAATAACATTTTCTCATCTTTTAATTATCTTACAGCCGCTGTCATGACGAAATGGAGACAAATCATTTTATCAAATGGCAATCTTTACATTTATAATATAACAAGACGTGATTTAGATAGAAAGTATCGTTGTCAAGTCCAAGATTTGCTAACTGGAGCAAGAATTGACTCAGTCAATTGGGCTACTTTGTCATTAATAGGTAAGTATTCAATGCATTTAAAGTTTAAATCGAATGTCACTCACAAGTAACTTTATAAAAAATTTCACCTAAAATTCCGAGAATAAGTTTGAGCTATGAGTTTTATTCAGGTTATGCTGAAGGTTTTACAGGAAGTTATACAGAGAACTTCACTGGGAGTTATTCTGGGAGTTTTGATGGGAGTGATGCTGGGAGTTGTACTGGGATACCGATTTCTGTGATAAAAAATTTGGAATTTCATGTTTGATTTTCTTTTTTCAGGACCTTCTAAAAATACCTCACCAATTATTCATTCTGAAAGATTGAGCAACAAGTATATTCATGCAGAGGAAGGTGATATTTTACTTATAAATTGTCCAATAATTGGTTTTCCTCGACCAGACATAAGATGGTTTAAGCATACAGTGACTACTGGTTCTGCTGGTGGCTATACCAACACAGAGCAACAACTTCCTGGCTCATCACATCTCTATCCGGAATCCATTATGTTTATACCTCGTCTAACATTTCGAGATTCCGGAAAGTATCAATGTTCTGCAAACAATTCATTTGGCCAAAATCATTTTGAACTAACTTTATTTCTCAAGAGTAAGTTGCATCCAGAAAAAAAGTTCCTGACCTCAAGTTACATTTTCAGTCTTATCAACTAATTAATTGAACAACCAGAGTTGAAAAAAGAGCAAAACTTTCATCAACTCTCTACTTAAAGTAATCATTTTTCACTCCTCCTCAGCATGTCAAGAGATTTGACATCTTGGACATTCATTTAACACTGCATTCCAATTACTTAACACTGAGCCTGAGCTAATATCAACGTCATTGTCAGATGAAAATAAAAAAATTCATTTCTTCATCAAAGTATCAAAGTAATCAGTTTCAATTTTCTCATCTTCCAAGTAAAAATTGACATTGAAATTAAATTAGCTAATATCAACATTTTTCATCTTCAACTCATATCCGTTCACAAATACCTTAATCCAAAAAATCACAATTTGTACTAAGTTCCACAAAAATGGATAAAATGTTGTAAAAGATTTCACATGTTAATTGATCGAAGCAAAAACAAGATTTTATTTTGATTAGAGTGCCCAAGAAAAATGTCATTGATCAAAGCAATAGAAAAATTATTCTCATGAAAAAGTAGAAAATTCAACAAAAGTTTCACATTATCTTCATCAACCGTATGGAGTCTTGATAATGTCTCTAAATCATCTTATCTCGAATTTTTTCCATTTCATTTTTTCTTCAACTTTTTTTTGTGTGTCTTAGCAGCATGACAGGGAGTTATTATTATCAATTTAACCACCTTCCCAGTCATTCCAGGCCCATTAATTTCTACACTTCTTTATAAGCTTTTTGCGCAATTAAAGTGAATCATTTTAGCATCTCATCATCATTAAATGCAACAAAAAAGTTACTCGACTGAACAAATGAGCATTAGAAAAGTGATTCGTTTCGCAAAAATATTCAGTTCATAATGATGACTGAAAAAGAATCAAAGACACGACTCGTATCAATTATCAGATGTTACCAAACATGAAATTATACAAATGAAATATTCTCAAGTTAAAATTGCAACATTGTAGCATTGACGAAAATTCTCATTTAAAGTCGAATCAATTGCTGCATTTAGGCTAATGAGAGTTTGATGAACGAAAAAAAGAAAAGAAAAATTTTCAAAAAAACTCTCAGCAAAATGTCGAAGGACATTTCCATGACTTCGAGATGTGTTTTATGGAGAAATACCAAAACTGCATGAAGATAGAATGCTTTTATCAGACAAAACTTCAAATTAAATATGAAACAATTTCTCCTCCCTGACAGTTCTGATGAGAAAAATCCCTGTTCTCGTCTGGAAATGTATCATTGATAACAAGAATTTTTGGTAATTTTCATTTTCTCACCTTGTCTTTCAGGAGACATCCGAGTTGCCATTACAAGTAACAATCCTGAACCCGCAATTGGTTCCGATGTGACATTCAATTGTAGCCTTATTATCACTCCCAGTTATGATAAAAACCTGGCTCAATATTCAGACATTATTCGTGAAGTGAAATGGCATAAAAACATGAGCCAACTTTCAAACGACAATAGGATTGCAATTAAAGACGCTCATCAAATGACAATACACTCGCTCAATTTTCATGACAATGGCATTTACCAATGTTTCATAAAGACTTATCAATTTGAAGAAGTGCACCACGAGAAATGGTACCACTCGAGTATAACTCTTAAAATTCCGGGTAAGTCAATACTAATTCAAATTGATGAGAGTTTATTGAATAAAAAAGCAACTCAATTTGCAGTATCAAGTAATAAGAATGATTTACTGGGAATGAAATTTCCAACTTAATTTCAGCATTTCTCATTTGGAAAGCAGAATAGGAGTGAGAAAAGATATTGCAGAATAATTTCCATCGTATTTAGTTTCACGATATTTTTCATCTTGAAATCATTTCTTTACAAATCGATATATTGAACTTGTAATAATAGTTTTCCCTTTCAATCTCATTTTATCATTTCAACTCCTTTCGTCGCATCTTCCCTGTCCCTTTACCAAGCATTAAATGGTGACAAAATGAGGCGTTATGATCAGTTAAATTGGCAAATTAATCAAATGAAGAAAAAAGTTGCTTCTCATATTTATACAAGAGAATAGTTGAATTTTTTCCTCATTTCCAGAGATTCATTTAAAAGTCAATTTCGCGAATTGATTGACATTTATTTGTCGACTTTTATAGCTGAATAAATGCATGTTTACTGAGCCATGAAAATCAATTGATGAAAAGTTGATCAACAAATGTAATTGGATGGGGCGAGAATTGAAAGAGAAAAATTATTCAAATTGAAATTCCAAAATTAATGACTTTTCCTCACTTTGATTCGTTTCCAGTTTTGTTTGGCTAAAGATGCAAGCAGAATAAGCACTTCTCATGAATAATCGCAAGGTTATCCGTTTGCTGAGCATCAAAGCCGATTAGTCAATTGTGATGAACTAATCTTTGAATGTTATCCTCAACAGAGAAGCAACTGAAAACATTCGTCTCAACATTTTTGTTTATTTATGTTATATTACATGGAATACAGCATTCTTGACTATTCGTCGTTTTCCAGTTGTTCAGTTGTTCCCTTGAGAAAGTTGTCTTCATCTTTAATCAGACAAGTTGAAAAGCCATCAAACTTGTCTTGGATTGAGTTGTGTAATGAAGACATACAAATTGGATATCATCACAAATTTATGATTACTTTTGTTTGCTCAGAACAGGGAAAAGTATCGATAAAAGAAAATTTTCTGTGACATTTTCTTTTCTCTGTGTAATGAGAATGTTGCCAGATAATTTTGTTTACATTCAACTTGGAATATCTTCTTTTACTCTTTTACTTTTTTTCTTCCTTTCTTTCCTTTTCCATCAAAAATTGGAGCAATAAATACATGGAAAGTGTAGGCGAAGATAGCGATCATAATCTTGTGGTTAAACATTTAAGTTTTATTTCTGGATTATCAATCGCTTTTCTGTTTGATTGGTCAACATTTATTTAAAAGTTGAAATTGAACTCAAGGTTAAACTTGATGATTCCATTTATTGATTTTTTCCGACAATTTTCATCTTTCCATTGGTTAAAGTTTGGTGTAATGATGAAATGATGAAAGATGTGATCAAGAGCTGAGACGCATGAATGGAGAGAAAAGTTTTTGTATCTTTTCTTCTGATGGATCGATTTTACTATTTAAATTGACTTTCTGTTCAAATTAATTTTCTCTTCTCTTCTCTCTTTTGCTCGGAATAATGAAAGAATCGAGTCGAAAGATGATGATGAAAAAGATGGTTAGGAAATTGTCAACACACAAAAGGAAACCTGAAAAAGGACATTGTCTTCCCACTTGACTTGAAACATCCTATTTATTTGGTATCAATTTTAATTCCATCAAGATATTAGATTGTGTTTTCCTTCATGATTTCATGGTATAAAACAAAGATTGAGCGAGAAGAGAAAAAAAGAATGGAATTTATTTCGTTTCACATCAACACTTATTGAATAGGCAAAAAACCGAAAAATGTCATTGACCAAAGAACAACTTGGCAGCCAAAAGAATCAGAAAAAAAGTAACAGAAATGCAAAACAAAAAACAGACGAAATAATCTATTAGATGAACGAACAGAAAATTAGATTATCGAAGAGTAATATTTATCATAGAGTTCAAATCCAGTTTCGATTTTGAAACTTTTGAAATACCGATACAACAGTATAATGCTTGATGAATCAAATGGTAGCATCCTCAGTCAATGAGACTGTTCCGTCTTTCAATCAAACAAACACTTTTAATTCGGATTCCGATTCAACCGACTTCTATTTCTAGATATTTCTAGAATTTTATATTAGTTCCAATCTGAATCACATCGAATTGCTATTCAAAGTTTACTTTTGAATGTTCAATTTGCCTACAGTCTCGACTCTCTGCGCTCATAAGAAGGTTGACTTAGAAGTCTTGACTTGCTGCATCGACTAAAGAGCAACGAAGGATGCCTTTACGGGGAAACGACTTTTTAGTCTTCTGTTGACTCGATCAATTATTAATATAATTTCTTGTCTAATTCACAACTTTTTTCCCTGTTTCATCCACCAGATTCATTAATTTGCTCCAAAATCGATTCACATATTGAATTCATAACTCATTAGTCTCATAGTTATAATATTAACGGCTGTGTTGTGTAAAAAAAGAGTTTATCATTAATAGCAGAGAGTGAGATGAAACAATGGGATAAAGTGATGGAATGGTAAGCAGAGAAGTAAAGTTTCAACAATGCTGAGGAAAATGCTGTTTGAAGAAAGAACAAAGAACAGAATAGATAAATAGATGAATGAATAAAGGGCAAGAGAGTGCAAAAAACAAGGAGATGCAGAAAACAAAAAAATGTATCATCAATCAAATGGATGTTTGCATCGATTTTTTTATTGCCTCCAAAAAAGTTATATATTTTTGAAGGGATTGCAGGATACAGAGAGAGCGAGAGTAAAGAGTGGAACGCGAGAAAAAAAAGTTTGACTAAAAGTGAGATTTGAAAGAGCTTTAATAACATTTATACGTTCACAGGCTGTGATGACGATAAGATTAATCTGTTTTCATTATTGGTCGAAACTTGTTGAAATTTTCAGTTTGAATTATCAAATTAATGTCACACTAAATGTGACGATGAAAGAATTGCAACGAAATTTTGCGTTTTCTCATTCATTAACTTCTCTCTTGAATGAGACTGAAATTGAGCTCGAAACAGAGGCAAAGCTTGTTTATTCAATTAACTTTTGCTCTTTCAATTATCTCGATAAATATTCATTAGATTAATAAATATAATTAATGTCAATCAAATTGTTATTTATCAAGAAAAGGGAGAAGAAGAAAAAAAGTTTCATTCTTTAATTCGACTTGATTTAGTTATCAATGAAAATGAAATTATCATCATGATTAGTTGAAGGAAGGAGCGAAAAAAAGATGAAACAATAAATGAGATTATATCGAGATGGCAATGGGAGTAAAAATGGAATAAAGTAAAATGTAGAAAAAAAAGTTTATGACAATTTCTGGTGGCTTTGCTTCTCCAATTGATTATCATCATTATTATTATTATGCTTTTATTTACTATTATTATCACAATTGAAGACATAATCTTCATTGACCTGACTTGAATGGCTAATTTTTCGCTTCATCAAGTTGGACTTAAAGCCACAGGGTTGGACAGCAAGTTGAATGGTTAAGGTTTTGCTTTCAATGAGATGATTAAAGGGAAGGGAAAAGAGAGAAAAAGAAAAGGCAGAAAAATTGAAAGCAGAAAAAGAAAGTGGATCAAGACGAGAGGGAAGCAAAAACTGGTCAAAAGCAACAAATAATGATAGTAGCTGAGATGGTTCAATATTATTGCAGATCTCATTTGATGAAGCTAAAGAAAGCAAAGAACAACAACGAAAAAAAAGATATGTTTATCTATCGATAAAGATTTTGACATTGCTTTTTACGCTCAGTTAAATCAATATTAGGATTGAAAGTACAAGATGATGATTGGCCTTGTCAGGTTTTCTGGGCCAGTTGAATGAGAAGGAATCAGTTGAACGAAGAGTGTAAAAATGGAGAGAGAGAGAGAGAAGGGACGAAAAAAGATGAAGACAAATGTTGGTCTTTGGACGAAAGTACAAGATGGAATGAAAGATTCAACGTTTTTAAGATGATGAACAAGAGTCAACAAACATTAGTTAAACAGTCAAATGGGAATGATGATGATGATGCTGTTTATTGTTGTTTCTTGTTGATCGTTTGTTGAATTATCAATAAAAGTTGTACAACTTGTACAACTTGGTAAAACAAATAACAGTGTTAAAGATGAAATTGCACTTAAATCTAACAAATGAATATCACTTGGTCTGAGTGAACGGGGGACAGTGGAAGAGTTGGAGGGAAGAAGCAAAAAAATGGAGAAAAAATGTTGAGAAGAAAAGTGTTTGGAGAAAAAACATTAGCTAAACGTTGGCATTACGATATTTAATATTGAATAAAAGTGAATACAGAGAGTGAAGACAAGTTTGGATAAACAGGGAATGATAACGAATAGACTAAAAGTGATATTTTATGTTTTTTTCCTCCCACTGATTGTCTCTTTAGTTTCTCAATCTTTTAGTTCAATCATTCTTTTGATTCTTTCTTTCACTTTGCTCTTTGTCTTTATCATCACCTTCTTGGGTTACCAAGCATTTGTAGCAAAATGATCTGTGGAAATAAACTTTGTCTTTTTCTTGGTTGTTTTTTGTTCCGTAAACTTGAAAAATATACAATTTCTTGTTTTCTTTACTAATGTTGCAACCAAGTAAAAATGTAGGTTTCAACATGGGAAAAGGCAAGAAAAGGACAAGTAAACATGGAATATGAAACAATCAAGGAAACTCAAAAATGGTGTAAAATTTTAAAAGCGATTTTTTAGAAAACAAAATCTAAGTATTTCTTGAGTAAAGTGTTGAACATCGCCCAAAAAGCGATTCCACTTTGAAGCAGTTCTAATAAATTGTTTCAATAAAACGAAAAAAAGCGATTTTTAAAATTCATTAGATTTGCAAGTTCAAAATCTCATTGGAATGAGTGTCAAAAGTGAAAGTAAATTTCAGAGAAACTTATTTTTGAAACTTACATTCATTGAGATCACTCAAGATTCTGAAAGACCCTAATTTGTTCTATGAAGGAGTTTCCCGAAAACCAAAAACTCAGATTGATTCAATGAATAAATTTAAAGTTTGAACGCAATCGAATAATCGCCAAAACTTGAAAATACCAAAAGCGATTGAAGTGAAATAATATTTGGAAGTCTTTAGAACAATGATTCAACTTTTTTTCGAAACTTTTTCATCGATAATTGGAAGATATTTGAAGAAAAGTTGGAAATGTCGATTAACGATTGGAATGATAATAAGCAGAAACTTTTATTCAAGTTTTCTTGCAAATGAATAGTTCTTTTCTAATATCACGATCATGTTCTAATGAAACCAATATCATTTTTTTCTCATTTAGAAAAAGCTCCGACATTTGGCACTGTCTTTCCGGAACAGATAAAGATCACTGGAACTCAACTATCTTTAAAATGTTCCGCTTTCGGTTCGCCCATTCCAACAATAAAATGGCGAATTGATGGTAAACATGTTGATAATGGTTTCGCTCGAAGTAATGTTTATGGTTATTTGACAGCGGATAGAAAGGGATTCACATCATTTCTTAATATATCATCTTTAACAGTTCAGGTACGATAATGATAACAGGGTAAAAATATTAGAATAACATGAGAAGAAAAAGTCTCTATATGTACATATCCATCTTATGATAACATTTTTCTTTTCATTTATAAATACATTTTCTTCTTCTTCTCCTTCATGATCCAATACACCTTACCAATCATGTTAAACATGGACAAAATGTTATCACTTTTTTTCGCCTCATTCCAATTCTGTGTATATTCAGTGTTGCTGTTGTTTTATTTGCAGAATTAATTCATCCTTTGAACTGATTTTCTTTGCCTCACCTCACTAAACTATGATTCTGTTTGATTCAAGAAAATGAAATCTGTAACATATCATCAGAAAGAATGAAAAAGAAATGAGAAAAAAGTTTGAGAAATGGAAATATGAATGAGCACAGATAAACTGGGAATACAGAATTGGAATAATTTTCAATCATTTGAGTGATTGCAAAATGATCAAACTTTGATTGTAATTTGATAACTCTTGTTACCTTAAACAATCATCATTCATCTATTAGCAATTCATCAATAAACATGGAAAATATGATTTGTCTTGTTTCTATTCTCACGGTTATTGATTATCATTGTTTTTATCACTTTCGTTATCCAATCTTTCCATGAGAATTTTTCAACCTCAGATGAAACTATCATTTCTAATGAACACGTTCATCTTTTTTTGCTCAGGATGCTGGAACTTATGAATGCATTGCAGAAAATTCTGTCTCATCAGTTTCCCATCTATCTCGAATTGATATCATTGGTCCGCCTGGTATCAAGCCAATGGACAACATGACTGCCATTATGGGGCAAACATATCAGCTTTACTGTCCTTACACTGGATATCCTGTAGACGAAGTTTACTTCACAAAAAGTAAGTAAACGTTAACTTCAAGGTTGGAATAAAATCAAACTTGAAAATAAAATCTTCCAACATTGAATGCAATTCTTTCCAATAATATAAAAGTTTTTACAGTTTTCGAACCTTGAGGCTCTGAATATTTTTGTGCTTCTTTATTAGTCTCAAAATCTTTTTTCTCAATGAAAACAAACGTTTAGCACATCAGCAAGAAACAGAATCGAGTTCATTTTACAGCATTAAATAACATTTCGATATTAAAAAATTAATGAGTATTCAGTTTTGATATTTTAATTACACAGATTCGACTTTATAACAGAGTTTTGCTTATTGAACAAATTGCTTTCCATTTGGAACTCATTGTATTGTCCAAAGATTATTTACAGAATTGATAAACTGAATGGGACTGATTAAGAGCTGAGTCTGTTTTGGGTGAAACAAAATGACTTTTATGGCACAGAATATGATTTATATGATATGTTATTTGCACGGAAAGGAGAATCATGAGAGAAATGAAAGTCTTTTGATCGTCTCTTGGTTGAGATTCTATTTATTGATTGGACGCCATAAAATTTTATTCATTCCCAAGTTTTGTCTTAAAATTTTGTTCAACATTGAAAATTGTGTTTTCCCTGGTTTTGGGTATAATTGGTTTGCACAAGAAACTTTTGAGCTGAGTGATGATAAAAAATGAAATTTCATCTGCCATTCATACAAACATTTTATAACAATCTGTTTTTTGTGCTTTTCATCCGCTGCCAATAAATGCATAAAAATACATATAAAAGGTTCCTCTGTAATAACTTGAAAAGTGTTATTCAAAGTGTATCAGCATTGTAGGAATGTTTCTCTTTGCTGCATCTCCAAAGAAAATGAATCAAATGAAATAACAGAATGAGAAAGTTTACAGATAAAAAAAGGCAGAAAACGAAATGAAATGAGTAAATGTTTCTTTTTTCCTTCTTTTTTTCCAGTTTTCTTCTCCCAATCAGCGTCTTTTTTTACATGCATTATGTCAAGAGAAAGAAAGAAAAAGAGAGAGAAAAATGTCATTTCCAACGGTTGTTATTCTGACTGAAACACACGAGGCAACACAACATCATGTAAAGAATTGGAGTGAAGATGAATTACCTTGTAATAAGCTTTGCTTCCACAAACTTCATGCTCATTCCCATTCTCATTCTGATACAATTTAGAAGATGAAACTCGAGTCAAAACTAAACAGATAAATGGATATAAATGTTTTACACATTTCACTGTTTCCCATGATTTTGGCTCATTTTCATTCTTCACTTTATGTTTATCTTTTCTTTCTGGTTTACTAAATACTACATTACCCTTTGCCTGTCTTGTTGTACAACATGATATCATGTAACCACATGAGTTGCAGCGAAAGAATGGCAAGATTGAATAAACGAAGAAAGAAGAAAAAAAGTGAAATAGATTGTTCGATGACAACATTTAGCCAAAGCGTGACGCTTGCAATGGAAATTTTTCTCTCCACGTAATCATCATGATTAACACGATGGAAAAGATGAAAATGAATTTTTCCGAAAAATTGTCTTTTCTCTCTTATGTTGATTCAAAAACAATTAACTTGATCAATTGTGCCATTTAACGATGATTATTCCAACAGCAAACTCCAAGTCTTTCAAGGGACTTCGTGACTGTCAAGTGTTGATAACTTTTTTGATTAATGTCTTTTTACCTGGAATGAGTATATCATTGACCATTATTTACACCTTGATTTAGTCATTTCTTGTCAATCTTTTTAATGTTGTTGGATGAAACCAATTGAATGAGTAGAAGAAAAAATTTGACACAAAATGCTGTTCTTTTCGTGTTCATATCACAGCTTTTTTCTCGCATGTTTATCATCACCAGTAATTAGGTTAGAGACAGAGTGACTTGCAGTTATTGTATACAGCCAATGGTATCAAGCATGCAATACTTTTACGTCAAACTTTTATTGTTATTGATTAGTGTTATTACCTTGAAAGGATTCAAATCTTTATCTTGTCCTTTATGGTAATGAAGATGAAAAAATATGACAGAAAATATATTTATATATAACAAGATTTATATTGACAGGGAAAAAAATGTTTACGCCAATTGGATGAGATTGTAGCATCTTGTGCATATCAAAGCAAATAATACCCTTGAGTAAGGTCAATTACAGAACTATAGCCTGGAATGGTAATATCCAGACTTTTTTTTTCTTTGCATTTTAATATGAAAAAAAAGAAGGAAAAAGAAAAAAGCAATGAAAGAATCAGAAGAAAAAGGCAGAATCGGAAAAAATTCTCATTTCTTTGGATACAATTTTATTGATATTTTGTTTCCCAATACTGCCCTTACAAGCTTATCAGCAATCTTACATGCACACTTTTGATATATTTACCGAGGTTACTCAGAATAATAAGTAGAGAGAGCCCAAGAAAATTTCAAGTTTTACACAGATATATTCATTTCCAACATTTATTGAAAATAACACTCAATTCTTGCTGGGAGTTGGAACTGGGAGTAAAGCTGGGAGTGAGTCTGGGAGTGAGGCTTGAGTGTGGATGAAAGTTAGACTTTGTGAGTAATGGAAGTTCATGAGTAAAGAAACTTTGAGAAAACAAAGTAAAACATTTACGTGCTCATGTTATCAATCATTTGACCAAAAATTACTGAATGTTCTGTTGAGATGTGATTGGCATGTGAAATTGTGAAAAGGCCAGAAATAACAAGCAAGTTTAACGTGTAAAAATATTGCTTGAATAGGAGGAAAAAAATCTAAAGCTCACCAACAACAAGGTAACTAAACTGGAAAATAGGTATGATAGCTGAATAGCTATCATGATTGAACATGGTTAAAAGTGAAACGTAGATTGGAGTGAAAATTTGTTTGACAGCTTTACTCAGATTCAATATATTTAATAATATAAAAAGTGAAATTTTACTCCCTTTAACTTTCAATAACTCGGTCAAAGTGTTAATTACAATGGAAAATTTTATTTCATTTTTTGATCGATAAACTTCACTTTCTTCAGGCCATTATTCAAGCAAGCCTAATACAACAACAGAATTGTATTCAAAACTGTACTTCGATATTATCAACTTTATTGCATAAACTTTCACCAAAGAGAACTGCAAAACTTGAAAAAATTCAGGAAATCCGAGCAAAACATGAAACAAAAAAATGAAATTTCGAGATAGACTTAGTTCTAGTCGTCTTGAACAAACAACGAGATCAAATGTTTTTCAAAATTTTAAAACTTCTCATTAGCATTTGGATCGAAAATTTCGTCAAAACTTTTATTTAACTTTTGTCGATGCAATTGCACTGAAGAGAATTAGAAAATTTTCTGAAAAATAATTCGATTTGTGATAATTAAACATTAGATGTTCATGTAAACTGTTATTAATAACATTAAACGATACTATCTTTTAACTCAATTGATTTGTACATTTTACGATGATAGCAAATTGATTGGACAATCAAAATGTTTGCTCTTTTTTATTCTCACTCTTTCTCTCTGTTTAGTTTCCATACTTATCCTTGTTGTAAAGATTATCAAGATTTTGACCATTTATTTCACTGTTATTATCATTATTACTATCAACAAGGGAAGCAATAACAATATCCTAAATCAATAAAAACAAAGTTATTATTATCACATACAGAATATTGAATATCTTGCTCATTCTCAGTGTTTCCCTTCTTCTTTCAGATTAAATGAATAACTAAATTATTTTTGGTTCCAGTGTTTTGCTGCCTTTTTGTTTAGGTCACTTCAATCCATTTTAGTATCATGTTTCAAGTTGAATCTTGTCAGAGTAAAATGTTATCAAACTTGTCATGTTTACAGTAAAATGTCATCTAAGATGACGTTAATGATAATGATAATTTTCTTGCTTCTCTTTTCCTTCCTTTCTCCCTCATCTCACCAATACTATCATTTACAAGTGTCACATTTGGACCTCAACTCTTCGTTATCACTAATTAGCAGACTTTTTAAGGACAACAATTTAATCAGACTATAAGTATTGCGCACTTAAAGGATTAAACAAATTTTACATTTTGTTCAGTAAAGTCAGTCTAATGCATGACCGTTTCACTTGACAAGAATAAATGTCAATATTGTTGTTATCGTGAAGAAAAGTCTTAACCAGATAAACTTGATATTAGATACTCCAACATTATAGCTACAAGAGAATCGGTTAAACGAAAACATTTTACTAAAAACCACTTAAAAGAGCAGTTCTGATGCTAAAAGAATTACGATATTTTTTAATCTTTGGAAATATAATTTTTTGCAAGCGCAACTGATGTTCGAAAAACTTTTTTCTTTGCCGAATATTAGTTGAACATTTTTCGCGAAAAGACTTGTTTAATGGTTCTATATATCGCGAATATTGCAGAGAGAAAATTATGATTTGAGATTACCGCCAGATCGTTTGAAAATTTGTTTAGAACGGTAAAAGAGTTCCTAGTTTAGGATTGACATCATTTGTTTAACATTTATAAGTTTATCTATTTTTAGATTCTATTATTGCTTTTTATTTGCTGAACGAAAAGAAATACATTTTTCGAGAAAATTGATTCTATGCCAGTCTTTTTTAGAGAATGTAATTTTTGTAATTGGGAGTTCAGTTTTTGGGAATCTAAATTTTGAGAATTTAATAACTTTTTTTCTTGTCTTTACAGATAATCGACGCTTGCCTTTTGAAGAAAGACATATTCACGTTGGTCTGGGTAAGATCAACATTTTATCAGTTTCCAAGGAAGACGCTGGGTTTTACAAGTGTATAGTTTCCTCACTCAATGGTGAACGATATGAAAGTAATCTTTATCTTCATGTTGTTGGTAAGTAACTGATTTACAGACATTTTCGATCTCTTTTGTCCCATGTTAATTGTCCATCACAGCACATCAAGACCACTTTTCCCTTTAATCTGAGGTATAAAATTGAATTTAATCAGTTTCATTGTCATTCTGTGAATGCTTTGCCTCAAGTTTACATCAACTTTACGCCATTCCCAGATGAATACCGATTGTTGTTTTTCGTAACTCAAATAATTTCCGGTTTGAAAGAGAAATAAATTTCAACAGTTCATTCTCTTATCAGCTGAATAATTGGATGAACAGGGAGGCAAGACATGCAGCAAGAGAGAGAGAAAAGAATCCAAAGAATAATTGCAAGACAATTGTCTATGTTGATGAGATGAATTCATGTTAAATTAAAGTCCATCGAGAGACTAAGCAGCAGGATGAAAAGATCTTTATCCAAGATTCTGTTCAAGAGATTTTCTTTTTTTTCGTCTTTTCATTTTCTTTGTCCATTTTACTATTTGACTTTCCAGCCAACTGCAAATGCCAATAGATATAAACAAAGATTTTGATCCTAATCTAGTTCAACAAGATTTCCAGTCTTTGTCCCCATTCTGTTGGAGTTGCCAAAATTTAGTTACACAAAAGATTTTCATTTGACCATCTTAATGAATAATCTCATTGCAAGGAAGACGGCACAGCAGTCGACTCATTTCCATGTCAGAACAAGTTTACTTAATTTGAAAGGTTCAATGTTCAAGGTTTTCGGCGAGAAAAATTCGAGTTGAGAAGGAAAATAATTTTGGAAAAAAAATTCGAAAAAATTTGTCTACAAGAAAAAAGAAAAATTTGCTCTTCCTTTTCAACATTCATCATCATTTGTCCCACTGAATTTGTTGCTCTTTGAGTTGAGCTTCTTACTCTATTCTTGTGAGTCAATGTATTGTCATTTAGTACGGAACGTCATTTTCATGGTTCATTATTCTTGTGATTGGCAATTTCATTCTCATCATTATCATTATTTTCATTCTTGTTTTTTTTCTGCTCTCTTCTCACACTTGCTTTATCGTTTTCATGCTTTCGTTGATTTACACTGTGATAATGATAACAGTCCATTGACAATCAAATTGATTAACTGATTATAGTTGATAATATTGTTAGATCAGATTACGAACAGGGAAGGCAAAAGGGCCATTTTGTCTGAGGCTGGAATGAGGTAAAAAAGAAGATAAAAGTAGAGTGAGAAAAAAATGTGATAATATTATTAATCCTTATTAAATAACAATGTCAACATAAACCATTAACTATCATATTTTCAACTGGAAACTGTCAAACTTGTAGGTTCACCATCAACACTCATTTGATAGCAAGACACATTATACAGAAATATGCACATCATTATTTCCAATTATCAATTCAAACGTGAAGAAATTTGATGAAAATTAATATTCTCTTTTGGCCATTTTTGTTGTTTCTTTTTTGTTCGCATGAAAAAGCACCACCAATATTGAGTCCATTTTCGTTTCCAACCAGTCTCGAGGAAGGAATGAGAATATCAATAATGTGCTCAGTTATATCGGGCGATCCACCGATAACTATTGCTTGGCTTAAGAATGGGCTTCCATTGGCTGACCGAAGTGAACCCAATCCGTCAATTCACATTGTCTCACTTACTGAATACGTTTCCTCACTCATTATTGAAAATCTCAACAAGACTGACTCGGGCAACTATACTTGTTCAGCTTCCAGTTTACACTCTTGGACCAGTTACTCTGCTCAATTGACTGTCAAATCAAAGCCTCATTTTACACTTACTCCAAGTGGTCGTATTGCCACCACCGAGATGCCCGTACTGTTCAACTGTCAAGCCGACGGTGTTCCAAGTCCAGTTATAAGGTGGAAGTTTCAACGTTCTGCCACGCAAACAAGTGAACCTGTTGCAATACTGAGCAGTCCGCGAGTCCATGTGCTCGAGAATGGATCACTTCACATACGAACAGTTTCCCTTGATGATGAGGGAACCTATCTGTGTGAAGCTTCCAACGGCTTGGGCAAGTCAATATCAGTCTCAGCCTTTCTCAAGGTCCATGAACCTCCAAAAATCCGTCCAGTTACTTCCAAGTCGATAGTGAAGCGCAGCGAGAGAACCGAGTTAATCTGTCAAGCATCGGGTTCTCTGCCAATGGTTATTGAATGGTTTAAAGATGGTTACCCACTGAGTCAGGGTAGTGATGAGGGCAACTTGCACACTTCAACCAGTTACTCTTCCAATTATAACCTGCGTGAAGAAGACGATGCAAAGTATAAAGTTTCCATCTTGACTATTCATTCGGCAACCCGTAACGACTCTGCCTTGTACATTTGTAATGCAATCAACTTTTACGGGTCCGCTAAAACGATTGTCAAAGTAATTGTCCAAGAACCTTCTGATCCACCGGATAACCTGAGAGCAACTCAAATAAAAAGCAACTCGCTGACAGTTACTTGGACTGTTCATCATACTGGAAACTCACCCATTCTTGGTTTCATCATCGAGTACAGAACTGCATCTGGTAAGTGTCCAATTTTTCAGTGTTTTTTTTCTCTTCATTTCCATTGGAAACCCTCTCGATCCAAATTTCAGTTCAACCTTTTTTCTCCTTCTCACTCAATCATTATCTTTCCACTTTGACAGAAACTTGGTCTTCTGGGAAAACTTTGTACATTAGTGAAAGTTCAGCCAACTCAATTATAATCACAGATCTTTATCCATCAACATCATATTATCTGAGGATTTCTGTGGAAAATGCTATTGGTCGAAGTGAATTTAGCCAAGAATTGTTTTTCATAACTCGAATGGAAGGTAAGACTCCTTGAGATTCAACATTTGTTTCACTCTCCAAACTCTGTATTTTTTTCTCAAAAACATTCTTTTACTTCTTTTCCATTCAATTTTCAGCTCCAAAAGTTGTGCCTGAAAACATTACCGCAGTGCCTTTAGATTCAAAATCTGTTCGTATAAGTTGGATTATTCGGGATTCCCTCGAAACGGGTGAGGGTAAACCTCGAAAGGGAGTAATTGAAGGCTTTTACATTGGCTATAAAATTGCTTCAACACAAGGATCATTTACTTATAGCACCATGCACCTGCCTGACCCTAACGAGTCTGTCAACTCTGGCAACTCAGTGACGGAAAGCTTACTCAATGTGCCATCTTATGAAGAGTCAACCAACAGAATTGGTTACAATTCAAACTTTAACCAAGCGAAAGAAATGAAGAAATATCAAACTGTCATTTCTTCCCTGAAAAAGTCGACCAAATATGCGATAATTGTTCAAGCATTCAACAAAGAAGGGGAAGGTCCATATTCAGACCAAATTGTTGTGGAAACTTTTGCAAATGGTAATTTGAAATTTAACCAAAAACTTGCTTATTCCAATTTAGCATTTCCAAAACTCATCCAAAAGTAAAATCCTTTTCCAATTCAATTATAACTTTAGTGACAATGATTCAAGAAAAACTCTTTTTCTGTATCAAACCAACACCTAAAGGTACAATTAACCCATTCTTGCACTTGAACCCATGAAATGGTCAACACAAATTCAATTAGATTGCTTTTTTGCATCACCAATGACCATGCAATTTAATCAAACTTTATTTCCAAGTTTCACTTGAAACACTTGAAATGCTCAGAAAGTGCTTGCAAGTGCAAAAAGATTGAAAGCTATTTTTACACTTTTATCAAGCAAATGAACAAAAGTCAATCGACTGACCAGATTTGTCCAGCAAGGTTCGTCTTTAAACATTGACAATTGAGTAAATAAATTGTTTCTAATGAATCATTTATACCACAAAATGAAACACGTTCAAGGCTTGTTGACTTTACTTTTTGTTTAACTTTACCTTTAAATGATTACTAAACAAATAGAGCAAATTTGGTAAACTTGAAAGTGAATCATGAAATGATCAAAGTTAAACTCGTAAAATGAGCAAAAGTTTTTTCTCTACTTTTCTCTTGTCAACAAAATTATCTCATTAACCCTCCGTTGCTACTCTTAAAAAAAGTCACAAGCACTCTACTCTTGTGACAAAAATGTTTGGTGCAATAAAACAATAAAATGCATAAGAGGGAAAAAAATTGCTAAAAAGAAAGAGTAACCCTTGACCCTTACTGGCCAAAATGTAACTTTAAATTTTATTGCTTTTTTAGTTTTAAGGGCTGCTTTGCTAGTTGGCGACTTGATTTTTTTCCTTTTTGTCTAAGACTTTTCAAGTTTCTTTTTTGCAATCAAGTCAAAATTTTAGTTTTGCGATTTTCATTTCAGCAACAAAAAATCTTGTTTTCTGATTCTTGTGCTCAGTTTTCGATACTTTTCGTGAACAAATCAAACATTTTAGTTAATTGTTTTAATAAATTAGTGAATAGTTAATATTCAACAATATCACCAATATTCATCAATATTCATCAATTTGATTCCAATTGGATTATTGTGTATTTGTATTGGATTACCATAATTTTGTGAATCGGAATACAATATTGTTCAATCTTTGGATTCATATTAAATATTTTAAAGGTAAGAGAATTAAAGCTTTGTAAACTACTAATCAGGTGAAAATTTCAGGTTCTAATTTAGCAATTTATTCATTGCAGATGGAATTAATTTCATTACTTTGTCATTTCGATGAAAATCTCCATGATTTTATCAGAATAGGGAACATGCGAAGTAAGCCTTTAGATCGTAGAAATCGTAAGTCCAAGCCTGAAGACATAAAACTTTTTGCAATTCAAATTTTTTTATTTTTCGGTATGAAAGTCGAGAAGCATATCATTTTGCAAACATTGAAAGACGATCCATATAATTTTCTGAGCCGAATCGGTTGCCGTCATGGCAAAAAAAATACGAATGCTATTAATAATTACAAAAGAAACTTTCAAATGAAAATAGAGAGGAAATGGGATGAAATGGTAAATTTTATTGATAAACTTGAGAAAATACGCCTTTCTTGGAAACTAGATCCTCTTTCAATCAGAACGCAAGCAGCTGACAAGCTTTTTTATATAAATAGTAAAAAGAAAACCTTCAGAAGTGCTATTTGCGCTATCAAATCTGGACAGATTTACAGAATTGAAGGTGATTCGGGTAAAGAAATCTTAAAATGTGTAGTGAAAGGCGAAGGTATTAGGGAAGCTAAATTTCTCAAAAAAATTCGACATCAAAACATCATGAAACTTTTAGATTTAGAGTCGAAATTCGGGCTTGACTTCATTATTTTCAATGATTGTGGTGTCAGTATTTTTTCAAAAATGAATGAAATCAGAAATTTAGGATTAGATTTGATTCAGAAGCTTGTGCTTGATTTCTACGATGCTTTTGCTTACCTCCATAATATGCGCATCATACATGGTGATATAAAACCTGAGAATCTAACAATTAATGATAAACAAGAATTGATTGTGATTGACTTCGACGCAGCCTTTTATGAAGGTCAAGCGGATTCACAAATTTTTACGCCTGATTTTTGTGCTCCAGAATATTGGACTTCCAACCTTAGACGACGAACAACAAAATATGATGTTTGGGCTGGAGCTATCGTTTTTTATGAAATATTGTATGGACTATTACCTTGGGCAAGTTGTGAAAATTGGAAAAGTATATCTCATTTAATTTGTTCAACAGAGCTTTCATTCACTACGAGCGATCCTGAATTCGATACTATTATGAATTGTGCTATTAAAAATAATTGTTCCCAGCGTGAGAATGCAGAAGAGATTTTTACTTCTTTATATTCGAAAATGCAATGAATTTTCAATCTTAATTTTTTATCAATCAAACCGCAGTAGATATTAAAATCAGACTAATCACATATTTTAGGAGACATTTGTATCTATCAGAATCAACAATCAAAAGTTATGGACATATGATAGATTTTGATTTATTAATTGTCGAATCAAAAATTTTGATTTTTGATGAATTTGACACTAATTTTCAATCTTAATTTTTTATCAATCAAACCGCAGTAGATATTAAAATCAGACTAATCACATATTTTAGGAGACATTTGTATCTATCAGAATCAACAATCAAAAGTTATGGACATATGAAAGATTTCGATTAATTAATTGTCGAATCAAAAATTTTGATTTTTGATGAATTTGACACTAATTTTCAATCTTAATTTTTTATCAATCAAACCGCAGTAGATATTAAAATCAGACTAATCACATATTTTAGAGGACATTTGTATCTATCAGAATCAACAATCAAAAGTTATGGACATATGATAGATTTCGATTAATTAATTGTCGAATCAAAAATTTTGATTTTTGATGAATTTGACACTAATTTTCAATCTTAATTTTTTATCAATCAAACCGCAGTAGATATTAAAATCAGACTAATCACATATTTTAGAGGACATTTGTATCTATCAGAATCAACAATCAAAAGTTATGGACATATGATAGATTTTGATTTATTAATTGTCGAATTTAAATTGTCAAATTTTATTTATCAGTTTTTTCTTTGCATTCAGTACAAGTTAGCTCAATGTGGTCATTACAAATAAATTTATCGCACTCACAACATTTTTTTGAGCTCATTCTTTTCAGTTTATAAACTTGATTGCAAAGATAGCAATTAGATCTGCGACCTGAACCTCTCGAAGACGCATTTCTTTGTATTACTGGTTGATCTTCGTTAATATCCAGAATGTTATTTATGATAGACCTCACATTCAATTTCAATGTTGCACATTCCAACCTTCTTTGCATGTGTTTTTTCACCAGTTCGAACCCTAAATCTTTTAGAAATCGATTCCTTTTGATTTTTTTTCTCGATAAAATATACGTATTCACGCCGATGATATCTACGAGAGTGAAAAATAACACCATTGGCCATCTTCTTGTTCCTCTTCCACAATGATAGTTTGAACACATTTGGTCCAATGTGTCAACACCAGATTTTGTCGCGTTGTAGTGCATAATTATATCTGGCTTACCTGTCTTACTATCACACCTTTTATCATGATGCATTGAGGAAAGAAGTATTACTGCTTTACGTTTTTTCGGAACATATGAAACTAATGTCATTTGCTCATTGAAACCAAAAATTGAGCTTCCTTCTTTTCTTGATGCATTCGGTTGGAATTCAATTGGTATTTCTTTTTTATTCTTTCTTACCGTTCCAGTAAGCGTTAAACCTGAATCCATCAAAGCTTTACAAAGTGGTATTGAAGTGAACCAATTGTCCATTGTTATGTTTCGTCCAGTATTCTCATATCCAATCAGAAGAAATTTCACTAATTTTTCAGCTGATAATGGTTGATCATCGATTGTCCCTTGGCCAGAATAAATTAAAGATCTCAAGCAATAATTTGTCTTACTGTCAGCTAGGATGAAAATTTTTATACCGTATTTGGCAGGTTTGTTTGGAATAAATTGTTTGAATGAAACTCTACCTCTGAATCCACGTAACATTTCATCTATTGTGAGATTGTAACCAGGTTTATAGTATTGACGACATTTTTCATCAAATTTATTCCACAGTTCACTGATGCATGCTAGTTTATTATTTTTCAATCTATCCTTTCTGGTTTCCTTATCATCAAAGCGCAAGCAGTTTATCAAAAATTCGAACCGCTGTCGACTCATAGTTGCTCTGAAAATATCGATTCCTGTTCCATCTGTACTCCAAAGATCAATCAAATTAGTGTGGCTTGTTCGATAAATTGCAGTGTAATAGAGTAATCCAATCAAAGCCTCCAGCTCAATCAAATCGACATCATTAGTATATGAGCAACCTTGATACTTCTGACGAGCTTCTCTTATCTTTAAATTCGTGTATCTTAAGATGAGTTGAAACATAGAGGCATCGAATAATCTCTTGAAAATATCAATATCTTGCGAACCTGATAAGCATGGGTGGTAATTTTCACTGAGTGAGTCTCTGATGATGTTGTTTGTTACTCTTCTTCCAGTCATTACCGGTGTATCAAACCATGAAAAATTATTCTTCCCTGATAAGATATAATAATTATTAATTTTCGATGCAGCTCAAAAAATAATATACAAAAACCTACCTGTAAAGGTGTTTATAATTTGGCTAGGGTTATCCGAACAACTACGAAAAGAAGGAAAATCACTCGCTTCTTCAACCTCATGGTCTGAAAAATCCAAATGATGTAAAGTTGAACATGGTCCCATTGCTGTCGATGAAATAGGTATTGGACCTTCACTTTCACTTTCTTCACTATCAGAATCACATTCTGGTATATCCAAATTGTTATCACTTTCCTCTTCAGAATCATTTCCACCTCTATCAGATTCACTATCACTTGGATTTAATAATAAATTCTCGATTTCTGTATCGCCAAGATTTACCAATCTCGCTCGATTCATAACTAAATCAAATTATATTGAAATGAAGAATTGAACAAGCAAGAAAAAAACTCCACAAGTCAAAGAAACTAAGAAAAGTAAAAACTAAAACTAGACTAAAAACTAAAAAACAAAAAGTTTGGTTTGACCTTTAACCTCCCTCAGCTCACTAACTTTACTTCCTTTCCCTTCAAAGGCTTGTAAAAGCTATAAACTACTCTTTTTGCAAGTGTTTACAAAAAAGCAATAAAGTGGCCAAAAAATAAAAAGGTCTTTTTATTGCTCTGTAGCATTGGTAATGCATTTCAACAAAACTACTCTTCTGACATTTTTGTATTTTACCAGGTCGCTTCACAATTATTGCTAGATTGCAGGTAAACTATAATGTCCATGATCTTGATTTTTCAGATGCATAGACCTATGACTGTGATTGACAATAAACCAAAAGCAAAAATCTATAACTCGAAAGGTTTTTTTACTATTAAGTTTTGAAGTTTAATGAGCACAAAAAAGTCATAAGAGTAGCAACGGAGGGTTAAGACTGATTTAAAAGAATTAATAAATCAGTGGAAAAAGTGAAACAAAAGATTATCTGTTGAAAAATAAATGTAGTTACAGGTTAGTCAGGGTTGATTGAAATTCTGTGAATGAATGCACGAGCCTTTTCTTTTGATCCATTGAACTGGAAAATACCTTTTGTCAGGTTAAACAAGTTTAATATGAAAGCAAGACTAAATTGAATCATGATTCATGTGACCAAATTTGTTCCAATTGACCTGAAAATTAACCAAGAAATACACCCAATGGAGAAGAAGAAAAGAACCAAAAAACTTCTTTTTTGCTCTTCTTCTTCTTCTTCCAATTGTCTAACATGGTTGATGAATGGAGAGCAAAAGCGCAAAGAACAAAAAACCAACTCAACTACTCGTCATGATTAAACAAATGCTTGGAATATTCATTAGAATTCTGTTTGAGAAATGTTTTGATATTCCAATTATTATCATTTTCCATATCATTAGAGTTTGGGTCAATGATGGGATCAATGGAAAAACATTAAAATCGAAACATTTGCAAAGGGAAAACAATGAATTTGATATTCACCAACTTTACCCTTTTGAATTTCAATTGAATCATTTCATTGAATTTGCTTTTTTCTTATTTACTTGGAATAAAAGTTAACATTAAAAGTTGATCAGCAACACGAGTTTGTGTTTCAACTGGCAACGTTTTTCCCTGCACAAATCAAACTCGAATCATTCATCTGAAAATCTCAACATTTTGTTCCAAGAGTAAAGTAAAGAGAAAGAAAAAATTCCCTTCCAATGAGTATTTTCATATTTTTTTCATAGCTTTACTTGATTATAATAGTTTCAATTGTGAGTCTCTTTTCGTTGCTTTCTTTTGCAAGAGAAAAAAACCATTTTCTTTTTGATGACTTAAGTCGTTAACATTGTTTCTTTTAAATCGTTAGACAAAAAGATGATCAAAAAATGAGAAAAATTTTTTTTCTCTCTTTTCTTGTATAAAAAATGATTCCAAGTATCGTTATTATTCTGAACGATTGATTCACTTGAAAACTTTTCTTTTCTCTCGATATAGCTTTAGAGTAGTTTTACATTTCTTTTCAACATCTTTCATTTCACTTGACATCCTCATCATTTTGTCTCCATGTTCATCTTGGTAAACATGGTTCATCACAAATTTACCTTTACACGTACTAGTGTTCCAGAAGCGTATGCTTTCCTACTACTACATTAAATTCTCTTTTCATTTGTTTTCTAATTTTTCTGACGACCATCACATTATAACTATGCACAGTCATGGAAACCAAAAATCTCATTGCATTATTTAGTTATCGTACTTTATTCCAACAAAAACCATTCAATTATCAATACAACTTGTAATGTGGCTAAAAGTCTTGGCCAACATTTCTGAATACAATGTACTAGTTTGTTTCAAAAGTCAAGACTCTGCATAAAGGATTATTAGAAAGTCAATATAGCGTATGTTTGTTCAAAGTCATAACTCACGTTGGTGCTAAATACCTAAGATGCGAACCATGAGTTTCAACAAATTGAAGAATGATGGATTCGAACCTTCGAAGTTATTCAGAGACATTCAGCTATTTGACCTTTGACAGTCATTTGAATGCCGTTCTCTGAAATCACCAGATATTTACACCGGTTGATGTTTGTTACAGTTAGAAACATATAAGAGCCACCTGAAATGAATTGGTTAACTGGACGTTAGTTAATTACGTTTGTTGGACACTTACATCTTTTTTACATGCGCTGGCGGTCAACTCATCTTGTCCGAAGAATGTGCATGTTAGCGTATTCTTCTGTTGACAAAACTTGATTTTGAATATTCGGGTTTCTTTTATGCTAGTTTCTTTATCGAGAAAAAAATTAAACAAGAGTAAAAAAGGTTGACCCTTTTAGCAAACGACCTAAATATTTCTGTCAAAGGTCAAATAATCAGGGAACCTTGAGTCATCTTGAAAATCTGAACTTAAAGTTGATAAACTCTCCAAGTCCCTGGCACAAATCTGCACTCTGACATAAACCGTTCATGAGTTATTTGAGTGCAAAGTATGATCACAAATGTGCATAAAATGGGGCAACTTCTCAACTTGGAAAGATTAACTAAGTTTTCTCAAAACCAAATTGATTAACTGAACTATTAGATGTGAAGTGAAAAACTTGAGTCAATTTCGACTCCATTTTTTTCTGGTGAGCATTCACAGTGCGAGTGATTACTTATTGATAATTTGCAAAATAATTGTTACTTGAAATATCCCTGAATAAAGATATGAGATGACTTTTTCTTAAGTGAAATGCTTCTAAAAATGGTTTGCTAAAAATTGTCAAATTGCACAACTTTTTCATTGATTTTCTTTTCTGTGCATTCTGGCGGAATTTAAAAAGATGACAATATTAATGTTATTGAATGATTATTCTACTTGTTATTGATAATGCTCAGGTTAACTGAATTAATTTTAGCTGAATAAACATGACAACTGATAACGATATAAAACACTTTTTTCCCTTTCATTTTTATCTTTACACATTTTCTGCACACTCTTAGTGATTTATAAATGTAAATGTAAAACTGAATTTAAACTGATAATTTGATAAACAGCATTTCGAGTTTCAACAAATGAAATACATTGGAAGTTAAACAAAAGGTTGATTCTGTGAGTTTTAATGATGAACTTTGCTAATTATTGTTGCATTTTTTGGTAATAATTTGGAACAATTATTTTGATGAAAAGGGAAAAAGGTTAAAAGTGCAAGAATAAAGGTTAGAAAAAAAAGTATTTCTTTACAATTGAACAAGTTGACTGGAATTTGGAATAAATTTGGATTAGAAAGGAATAAACGAAATGAATGTAGAGAAACAAAAAGCTCAACATTTCATTAGTGTCATCATAATCATTAATCTAATTGGAACATTTTTTCCTCATTTTTCTTTCAGATCCACCAAAAGCACCCAAATTGTCCTTTGAAAGTTCAACCAGTGGCAGTGCCTCACTTACTTGGTCACTTGGTTATGCTGAAGCCGATTCAATTCACGGTTTCATTTTGAGCTTTCGTTGTGACAAGTTTGAAAAGGAAGAAGTTTATGATGACATTAGACTGCCCAAGATTTATCGACGTTACCTTTTATCAAATTTACTTTGTGGAACCAAATATTCGGCTCGAATGTGTGCCTTTAATGAAGTCGGTAAAGGTGAGCCAAGCAATGAAATTTTCTTCAAAACCGAAGGAACAGGTAAGAATTTTTCTCAATCTCTTCAGTTCAAGTCGATCCTTTGTGCTCGAAAGTGCAACTTGATTACATCAACATGTAGTCAAGCATCTTTCGAAAAATGACGAAAATCTATGAATAAATGTATGGCTAGTTGAAGATCGACTTTGAAAATGAAATTCTCTTGTTGTCATGGTTACCAATTCTTTTCTCATTTCTTTTCTTTTTTCGGATTTTCTTCTAAATTACTAAGCTCCAATTGCTCCAGATAAAAATTCATTCATTACGAGTAACATTACCATGGTTACTTTATGGTTAACCAATTGGTCTGATGGTAAATGTCCGATTGACTATTTTGAGGTTCAATACAAACCTCAATATCAACCTGAATGGATTCTTCATTCCAATCGAATTCTTCCCAATCTTGATCGAATCGATATCAGAGAAATGTTGCCCGGAACCTGGTATGATTTACTTGTGACGGCTAAGAATGAAGCTGGTCCAACCGAAGCCAAATATCTGGTTGCCACTCTCGACATAACTGGAGCCACAGTTGCCCCTTTACTTTACAATGACTCTAAATCACTGGTCGAAGGATTGATGATTTTGGTTCCCTCAATAAGTGCCATTATTGTTCTCATTTTGGTTGCCCTATTCGCCATTTACATAGTCTTTTTGAGACCTCAACGTGAAACAATTCAAAGTGACCTTTGTAAGTATTGAAGGACCACTTGACAAGAGTTCAATATGAAGAACCTAAAGTTTCTCAAATTGACCTCAAATCTAATCAAGCCAACCCAATCAAAGTTTAATGCTCTTGTAATAATGAACAAATTGATAGCCAATCATTCGAGTAGCTCAATGACTTGAAAAAAGTGAAAAAATGAATTCGAGGGAACATCATTTTTGCCATTCTTTTTATATCAAATATCAATCGTGATTATCATTTTTCACATTATTTCATCAGATTGACTCTTCAATCCAGCCTCTCCATCAATAACCAAAATCTCAATCATTTCACAGGATAAAGTCAATGCCCAAGTTTCAGATTACCTTTAATTATCATTTAAAGTCAGTGAAGAACGATTGCTTTCTCTCGCGAGAAAATGAATTGAAATATAAATATAAATCGAAAAAAATTATTGCTTCGAATTAAACATTTTTTTCCATACAATATTTGTTCAGTCAAAGTAAACTTTTGTCTTTCTCTCTTTTACTGAACACTGAAAAATAATGACAGGGTTTATCATTGTTTCTAGTTGAGTAACAACAAGAACTGGATTCAACAGCAAATCCAAGTTATTATGCTATTAGTAATATCAGCTCATTTAATGATTACCATGATCATGATGATGATGATGTAAAAATAATGGCAACAAGATAAAAAACTGTTTCTTTTTTTCGCTCTTCCTTCTTTCGCTTTGATGATACATTTAATTATCATTATAATCATCATCATTATCAAGTTGCTTTTTTGTCTTGTATCTAATTCTCACTTTTCTTACTCTTCTCTCTTATGCACCATGATGATAGATGGGACTCACCAGGGTGCTGATTCAGTTTCCCTTCATTCATATAATAAGGCAATCAAAGGTGAACCTGTCTATGAACACCAGCGAGCCTATTGTACATCCCTTTATTCAACAGGAAACAATGAGAATCTTGAGATTCGAGATAATCCAGGTCAATTATGTTCAATGGAGGACGAGTATCGTTTTGTTATTGATAATCGGATTCCAAGGAAAGGGGTTTACGATCACATTTATGATGTACCTCATCGTCAGCAGAAAATTTTCACAGCACTTCATTAATACCTGTGAATGTGTCCTTTCCTTATTGTTGCCTCTCTGGGCATTTTTTATCCTGACAAATGTACAATCGTTACAAGATGAAAGCTCAAATGTAATTATAAAAAAAGGAGCGAAATAGAGAAAAATAAGTGTCTTTTTCTCACTCTTTTACCCATAGTTTATCAACATGGAATGCAAATTTCACAAAAGATTAACTTTTTCTTTTATTTAATTTCAATGTACAAAATTGATTAAACTGTTCATTCGAATGCAAAATTGTATATTTTTGGTAACGAATTAAAAAGAATGAAACATTGTCGCTTCTCATTGCCCTCTTCTAGATAATGAATGTAACTATTCTGCTGAGCCAGAGATTGTGGTGAAATCAGTCGGAATTCGCAATGGCGAGCTATTAACACTGACGTGAGATTAAAACTGCATGTAATGAGCTGAACTGCGTATGGTCAACGAGTTGTTCAAGACTTATGACAAGTTTCACTGTATCTGTTCCCTGTCTCCATCTATCTCTTGCAAATCAAATTGCAATATTGATCATGGATGGTTGTTTATTTAGCTCAAAATGCGGCGAATGGCAATCAATCCGATTGCGTATTTTTATTACTTTCATTTCATGAGAATTGTAATTATTACGATGAATTGCTTCAGTGTGCTCAAATACTTGCTTGGCTCAATTCTGGTCAATGATTAATTAGTTTTAAACACAAAACTATTTTTGCTAATGTGTGTTTATCATGGCCATCGTCGAATTGATAATATTAACCAGACTGGAATTGTAGCTCAGAGTCAATGCATTCTAATTTCAGAAGATAAAACTGAACAGAATAAAAATCAGAAATAAAAATGGCATAGTGCTATAACTTTTCTATTCAAACAGATTTGGACTAAGCTGTTTTGGAAATTTTGGAACTAATTAGTTTGATCTTTTCTCTTGTAATTGCTTTAGCTAGAGGTTCAGATTTTCCTCTTCATTGATTTAGAACTTGAAACGGTGAAATAGAAAAATTTTTGTTTCTACGATTTAGGCTTCATGGTTTTTGGATCGTTGCAAAATACAGTTTGAAAATTTACAGTCAAAATTTTTTTTAATAACATGATAGGAGAAAGATAGTGCAACTCCGGTTAGTGAAATATATTCTACACTCCATTTCAAAAGTTTATTCCACAAGTTCACCCAAGATTTTTATATTAAAATTTTGAGATAATTAGATTATTTCTTCATGGTTTACAGGTTGAATCGCGTTCAATCTTTCGCTTAGTGTTGAGCATTTGAAAACAAATTCTTAACAATTAGAATCAATTTTGAAAATTTTAACATTAATATGAAATGTTTCAAAAGTTTGGTCCATCATTAATTATCAATTCAATGAGTGTACAAAATTTATTGCAATTTCAGTCAAATGTTTCTTATTTGAATGCTCGTAAAAAATCAATCAAGAAAAATAAATCCTTGAGGCGAAAATGAAATTTGTTTTTTCCACCGATTTCTATGCAGTAATCTATGGAGATACGGTGTTCAATAGTAACTTACTGATTCTCGCCCTAAAGATTCATTTTTCTGTAACGAAAAAAGAGGACAACATTAATGAAAATGTGAATCAACTTTAGTTTTGAACTAGTTTAATGGATTATAGTAGGATTCATAAGGGAACAAGGGAAGGCTTGATACAAACAGATGAGAGTTACAATATCAATGTGGATGTCAAGTTAAAAGGCTTATCTTAACAGAACTAACTTCTCCATCATTCGGGAGTGTGTATATACTAGGGAAAAGTGTCATCAGTCAACATTACTATATATGTACATTAATCCAAATAAAGGTTATCAATTAAAATACAATTATCATCACCTTATAGTGGAAAATACTTCATAACCATATCAGGGCATTTATTTACGTTACAATTGCCCCGCGTCGCATTGAAACAACTCCTGTTTCAAAGAAAATACAGAACCTAAGCAGAAAAACAACTATTTACTATGCAAAAAATGATACAATTACTCAAAGATATTTTACTGCAACTTAAACAATGGATAGTAAGCCAAAGCAACGAGTCAACGAAAACAGAGTTTGAATAGGGCGCCTGCACACTTCATAGATACGAAACGGTACCTGGTTTATCATATGTTCATTCATTGGTAGTAACAATACAAGACCTCATGGAGAGTTCATCTAAAACCAGGTTTAGTTTCATGTTTTTGTGATTATTTTTCTTAATTCACTCAAAAGATGTCACCTTCTATGCTGCTGTATTCATGTTTTATCGCCTGCTCTTATTTTTCTCTGGGTGAGATTTCGATTTCGTTTCTTTCTCTTCGGCTCTTTTCAGTGACTCCCTTTTCCCATCCTTTGGATTCTTTCCAAGGCTCCCTCACGTCTGCGTTTTTTGCTTTTCTAGTTACATTTATACTTGACGGCGTGAGCTACAGCTTTGATTGCTACAATTTTGAATTGAAAATTTATAAATATAGTTAATTTCTTGTTTGCTTTACTTTTTCAGCGAGCGCACAAGAACCTGTTCCTGGTAAATCCGAGAATTTAGCTTTGAATGATGACTCGTCTGTGGATTATGAATTCTCATACACTCCGGGTACAGTTCCTTCGCCATCAGGACGATTTTGGATCGATTTTAGCATACGACGAGAGGAGACAAGGAACAACGATGACACAGGAAATAATGAGGCTGATAATGGTAATAACGATAATTGTAACAACGATAACGATAATAATGATAACTGTGGCAATGATAATGGTAATAATGATAACTGCAACAATGGTAATGGGTATAATCATGGAAATGATGACAACAACAATAATGTTAACAGTGAAGTAGATAGAAATATACCATCCGAACCCAGTGAATTGAATAAAACTAAATCTCATAAAAAATCTAAAATATCAAAGAAAGATCAAAGAATAAGCGAGGAATCATCGAAAGTCCACCTGTACCGCTAGCACAATTCGTTCTGAGCCATGCTGATATGGGTTATCACCCCGTCAACACTCCAATTCACGCTCAAACCGAGTACTTTATTCTTCGCGGGGGTTAATGTGAGCAGTCCAGAATTCCTGAGGATAGATTTATCGATCCAGGATAGAGTTAAGTAGGATGCAGGAAGTGAGTTTGGAACAGCTAAAAGATTGGGCCGGTCGAGATAGTAGCAATGTAGAAGGGGAAAGGAGAATGTTGGTAAACCAAGAGAAAGCAGCCACTGAATATAAGTAAAAAAATGCCTGTGTATTTGTATTTGCGTACAAAAAATGTCTTTATAAATTTACGGACATCAGATTGCTTTATAAGCATGTAGTGGGTAAGGAACGGAACTCCAGCGATTGTTATTTAACAATATCGTGTGATGTTAGAGTTGCTTAGGGTGGTATAAACAAAATTGGGGTAAAACAGCGACCAAAACTATTTCCATGGGGTGCTATACTTTGTATTGATGAGGACAAGGTCACAAAAGTTACCGACGGAATCGAAGTAATTAGATTAATAGTTTGATGTACCTGCGTCAATGCGAGCTGATTGGGCCAAATGGCCGGTGGCCGAGAGGGGTGCTAAAGATAAAGCACCATCAACAACAGTTGAAGCTTGCTCGCCAAACAATTGAAATCACCTTTGTTTTTTATTTTGGTAAGTGATCATTTATTTAAACGGTTTGTCACAAAGAAGCACATTAGGTCTGAACTGGAAAAGTAGGTCAAGTTGTAGAAGTAAGTATGTTGTATCAGCTATCACTGCACCAGAGTGCTCTAATAGGGGAACTAGGGAACTACGTGATGAAGCAACATTACTATCGGTTGATGGTTAACAAACCAAGGGTGGATTCTTAATGCAGTACTTATTGCTTTAATCTCTATATTTTGATTATTTTTAGGTATTCAATTTTTATTTCACATGTGATGATTCATTGAATGAATGGTTTACAACAAAAGATTTTGCTTTCAATGTTTTAGGGTGTACCCTGCAATGCGTCAGTTAGATTGTAATTTATTCGTGATATCTGAATTTAATTAATCCTATTCATTTCTATTATTATAATAGAGATGATTGTAATCAATGCCAAGAAACAAACTGTCGATAGTATAAACTCTCCTAGAAACCAACGCCTTATGTAATTGTTGAGGTTATTACAGAATTCAAGGAAAATTAAGTTGAAAAGATATAATAGAAAAACCAATTTATCAATATTCATTAAAAAGTAAAGTGCCTTTTGTAATTTTCATAATTTAACTATTGTCAAGCACGCAAGATTTTTGGATATTTTATTAAAATATTTGATCACGAAATAGTGTGTAAAAGCTTTACTAAAGGAATCACTTCTAATTTAATTCAATCGTAATTCTTCTTCGTGTGAATTTGCAAGCATTCAAGATTGCGCAATAATTCCTCTTTCAAATCCAATCAAGTGAGGTGTGGTTTTTCTGCGAGTAATCTATCAATTTAGATGTAATTTTCAATGCAATACAATTTAATTTTGTTAGTCTGGGTGTAGTCTATTTGTAGACTTGATTTATTTGTTTAATGATTAATCTTTAAAAGTTGACTTATCTAGGTACAATGTGATTTTATTTGATCTAATTTGTCTTTCAAACTTAATTCATCTTGACAAGCACACAAATTATTTTTATCGATTCCTTGTTTCATATATTATTAGTGATATGAGAATAGATCCAAGTGTTTTGCTGATAATTAGCTAAAATATTGATTAATTGTTTTTTATCTTAGATACTTCTCTTGAAGATTATCTTTAGTCATTCGTAATTGTAGAATAAATGTAACTAATTCAGCGTTAAACCGAGAAAGCATTTAAATAAATCTTAATTATGCAAGTAGTAAATGTAATCAATTGATAAATTTTAGGATTAATTAAACTTGAATTAGAATTAGATAGCGAATTAATCGAAATGTATGAAAGATGGCGAACTGGAAAGTTCTTAAACCATGAATCGATACAGTTTAGGTATTAAGATCAAATTATTTTCAGATAAATTAGGAATATAGACTGGGAAATGTATGAAAGATGGCGAACTGAAAAGTTCTTAAACCATGAATCTATACAATGGTATTGGGATGAAATTATTTTCAAAAAATAAGAATCAAGATTGGAGATGTACGAAAGATGGCGAACTGGAAAGTTCTTAAACCATGGATCGATACATTTTGAAAAATTGATGAAAATAAATTTAGGTATTATGAGTATAAGAGTATTATTCAATCTAACTAGAATGATATATTTTAGATTAGGTACACAATTAGGTTCTTTTTTAATGCTAGAGTACGTTAACTAAATATTATTTGAATCTAACT